ATTTGTATTTGTACTCTCTTCAAACTGATCCTAAAGTGCTGCCTGGCAGTCTCCCGAAGACGAGTGCATGGAAAGACTGAAAAGCTGAAAATTGGGAAGCTTCAAATGAAGCTTTGGTCTAAGGGTGTAAATCAGGTATCCCTAAGCTAATAATTTATGCTGTTCCAAACTCGGGCTTTGAATTGGACCTATTGAAAAATTGATAAAATCCCAACCCCAGCCTGCAAAGTTTGCACCCCTATTTCATTTTTTCCTTGCTAAAAATAGCCTTCCCATCTGTTTTTAATAGCCTGGTAGACCATGACACAAACCAAATAATCATAGTCTTCAAAGAAAAGACCCCAAAAACTTGATGTGTCTTCTAATCTATTAAGCTGTTAAAAGATCTACATAGAAATACTTTCCAAACAACCCCTAAATCTATTCACAGTCATTCTTATCTACATGAAAACATCCATCACCAAAAACCATCTAAAGCTGAGCATGACTGTAAGCAATCTCAAATGGAACCCAAAGCATTCGTTCTTTTTATCACAACCAGTCCCTAGGCTTATCATTTCTTTTAGTGGCTTCTCCAAAGCAGCTTTCAGTGAAAGATCAATCCAAAAAGGCCCTAAATTCAGTTGGAATCACCAAATAACAATATTATGACATTTCTATGCGTCAATTTACATGATTATACCATATTACTTTTTCATTGGTCCAGATTTTCCTATGCCTTAATAGTGTCAAAAACTGATATACCTCATCAAAGAAAAGCGTTAAAACTGCCATCCACAGTACTATTTATTAAGGCTATTTTTGGTTTAAGGAACTTTCTCTCAACTTTATTTGTCTGTCTTATTTCACTGAAACACCCTCTGAAAGCTTTGTTTCCTAGCTTCTGATTTCAATTCCTTTGGAAAATGTAGATTACAGAATTTGGAGTTATTATTATTATTATGATCATCATCATCAACGTTTTTAAAACTGATTCAGTTAATAAACCGGTCAGGAGTCCGGTTTCTACGTTGAACGGTTCGACTGTTCGAATTGAACGAATGACCCACTCTAACAAAACAATTAAAAAATTTAAATTTTTTTTAAAGAATAAAAAACAGTCAAAACCATTGAACAGTTTGAATGAATCAACTGCCAGGATCAACAGTTTGCTGACCAAATCAATATTTTTTTAACAAAAATCCGGTGTTGGAGAAAACTTGAACCAATCATCTCTGCTTCCTGGTTTTTCCGGTCTGACCATCTGGTCCGGTCCAATCTAATTTTAAAAACTATGATTATTATTTTATTTTTTGTTAGTAAAATGAATACAATGTAGTACTGGGAATCTGGGATCTATAGAGATATCTTATATTATTGAATCAGATTCTAAAGTTGCCATCGGTCTCAAAAAGCAGAAATCCTAATAATGGCATTGGAAAGTGAGTTAATAAGTTCGAGTTCTTACAAAATTTCATTCAACTTTTGAGCCTTGATGCTGTCTTCGTCAAGGGACCGGCCCATGATCAAAATTTAAAAATTCCTTCAATAATATTATAATCAAGGGAATTAGAACATTGACCTTTTGTACATCGCTTTAAGCTTAATATGAAAAGCTATTGACATTTAAAAACCCTGGATGCCGTGGAAAGCATCTGAACCAAGTTGTGAAATAAAAGTAAAGATAAAAGAAAATCAAAGAAATGAAACAGAGAATCACATCTTGTCGTTACCCAATGGGTGGTGTTGCTGTCAATGGGTTGGGTCTGGTCTGAGTCAGGCTCGATTAAGACCCGATCCAATCATTAAATGTCCTAAGCAAGTTGTGTCTTGTGGGCCTGCGGCTAGCTGCATGCAAACAACAATCACCATATAAATTAAATTAAAGTTTAACATTATGTCAGCAAAAAAGTATTGAAGAGGGTGATGAAGTGGGACAAGGGATCATGGCAGCATCTAGGGTTTGATGATGATGGTGGTTTCTTCTCAAATGAATCTATCCCAAGGATGCATATTTATATTTGGCTTCACTTCTAAGATTTAGGTGGCATTTGATAAATCTGAAAAGTTAAAAAGATATTATTCTGTTCTAAAATCTAAAAAGAAGTAGAAATGATTTTTTGTTTTTTAGAAGTTCTTAAAAGATAAGATCATTTGAGTTGGAGCAATTCTCCAACATCTAAAATTGTGAAGTTTACTATTTTACTCTTAGAAATATATTGTTTGATAATGTTATAAATAATTAAGAGAATATTAAATAAAAACAGTATTCTATTAATAAACAAATATTATATTTTTAAAATAAATAATTATTTATTATTTAATTAAAAAAATATTTATTTATTATTATTAAGTAATAATAAATAAAAGTATTTTAATTATTAATAATAAATATATTATGAAATATTCTTATTACTATATAAATATTAATACTAAATATTATTATTTATTTAAATTAGAATGATATTATTATTTAATAGTAATATATTTATTATTAGTAATAATAATAATAATAATATACTACTACTACTACTACTACTATGAAATAAATATTATTACTAACATTGTTATTTATTTAAATAGAGAAATAATATTTATTATGTAATAATAATATTTATAACTATACTGATTTATGATTGTTAATAAATAATATAAAATAAATTATTATTATTATTGATGAGGGCAGATTTGGCTCTCCAGTGAAATTGCGACACGTGGCACCTCGTGACAACTAGGCAAGCACCCAGGCAACAACTTACCAAGTTAGTGTCCCCCCCGGGCACCGGTCTGGCTAGCCTGGCGCGACCTGCACGCGGCCCACAGGCGGCCTGCACGTGGCCTGCGCGACCTGGCCGGATCAGCCTACCACAGGCACCGACCTGGCAACCTAGCCCGGACACAGGCGCTGACCTGGCAATCTGGCCCGGACACAGGCGCCGACCT